TTACTTGATACTACATTTTCCAAACACGCTTAAATAAGAAAGCAGCAGTAAGAATATTAATCCTCAACTATGCACAAATGCGCCAACAGATTAAGCAAATTAGATACATAAAGAAAGGCTCTAAGTTTTCTCCTTAGTCAGAGAGTCACTACATCATGCCCGACTAAAATAACAATGAAAGAAAAAATAAATAAAAGTTTGAAGGTTGAATAAAAAGGGTGCAAATTCACAAAACAGAGAATTAATATCACTTTCTTGTACAAATGATAGAACTGATCGTTTTTAACTTTTAGTTTCTTTGAATGATGGCATATTTGGACGAAATCAAGGAAGATTTAGGTCCCAAAACAGGTCAACATTTTTCTTTCTTTTTTGTAGAATCACCTACTGGATTGAAAAATTAAGATATAATACACTTTCAATCAATGTATAAACATAGAAATCAATCAAAATAAAAAATAATTTTCTTCAAAAAATGTTTTGTGATTAATAATTTTCTTCACCTAAACATTTTATCAAACAGGTTATATGCGAAGTATTAAAAGCACCTATACCACAAAATCTAGGTCTAGTTGCATACATGTAGATTTCTTTTATCGAGGAGAACAAATAACACATGGATCAACAAAAATAAAACTCGTCATCTCTAAACCACAAACACAATATCGTTTCAGGTTCGAAGTAAATTATTTTTACTATATTTAAATTCAGAACTTACGAAGAATTAGGGAGGGTTGTTGTGGTTGGGGCGGGATGCTTTCTATTCAAAATCACGACCACAGCCATAACGAATCCAGCTCTGCCCAAAGCCCATCAATGCGCCGGCCGTTCTCTGAACGTCCCCAGAGCTTTCCGGTAGGCATGTGAAATGTTAGAGAGGCGTGTGTGATAAACATAACGAAGTAATTACAAAGAATATGGAGAGTTGTTGCTGCTTGAGTGTTGAAGCAATATCTCTTGTTATTTATTCTTATTTTCTTCCTTTCCTCCAAAGTAGTTAATGAGCCACTTGAAAGCATTGCCACTGATCTTGGATTCAACGTTTCTTGAATACGGGTAACCGTTTCTTGATCCAGTGCGACTTCTTGAGCTTGAGGTTGAGACTCAGATGATGCGTTGGGCTTTTTCCAAATAAAGAGATAAAACTCTGTTGATAGAGGCGTGTAGGAGGAGGCTTTAAGAGAGGCGGAACCTCCTAAACATTAGAGAGAAAACACAGTAATCGAGCAGAGGAGCCGAGGGATAAGTAAATTAGCAGGAATTACAAATCATCATTAGGGTCCAGTTCCTAGAGATTACAATTCTAAGCAATTGTTAGACTTTAAAAATGAAAAGGATACTACAACAATAATTTCAATATGAAGTTTGTTTATTTACATACCACTTGTTGTGGTCATGACATCATGATTTTGTGTGAGACACCTTACCGAGAATACTTTGTCACTTTTTTATAGTCTTCCTCGTTTACATCAGTCCTAAACAAAAGATGTAGACCCACTAAATCATCAATTTCTTTTGACCTAGTTGTTTCATGAATGCCACTCTAAAAGACCAAAAAATACACGTAGTATAACAATACATATTTAGCATATTTTTAGAGAATTACTCAAAGCAATTACTCTTAGATATACCAGTTCCAATTGTTCTCTGAGTTGTCCAGCAGTTTTGTGTAAAAACTGATGATACTCGTGATCACAACTAAACGGAGCCGAAGAAACCTTCACGTTAAGAGTAATCTTATATCGATGTATTCCCTAAAACAGGCCAACAATTTTCTTTCTTTTTTGTACGATCACCTACAGGCTTGAAAAATTAAGATATAATACACTTTCAATCAATGTATAAAGACATAGAAATCAATCAAAATAAAAAATAATTTTCTTCACATAATTCTTTTTAAAAATAGGGAGCTAGATCTGCCTGACATCAATAAAATGGTCATTGCTTTATAATTACTTGATACTACATTTTCCAAACACGCTTAAATAAGAAAGCAGCAGTAAGAATATTAATCCTCAACTATGCACAAATGCGCCAACAGATTAAGCAAATTAGATACATAAAGAAAGGCTCTAAGTTTTCTCCTTAGTCAGAGAGTCACTACATCATGCCCGACTAAAATAACAATGAAAGAAAAAATAAATAAAAGTTTGAAGGTTGAATAAAAAGGGTGCAAATTCACAAAACAGAGAATTAATATCACTTTCTTGTACAAATGATAGAACTGATCGTTTTTAACTTTTAGTTTCTTTGAATGATGGCATATTTGGACGAAATCAAGGAAGATTTAGGTCCCAAAACAGGTCAACATTTTTCTTTCTTTTTTGTAGAATCACCTACTGGATTGAAAAATTAAGATATAATACACTTTCAATCAATGTATAAACATAGAAATCAATCAAAATAAAAAATAATTTTCTTCAAAAAATGTTTTGTGATTAATAATTTTCTTCACCTAAACATTTTATCAAACAGGTTATATGCGAAGTATTAAAAGCACCTATACCACAAAATCTAGGTCTAGTTGCATACATGTAGATTTCTTTTATCGAGGAGAACAAATAACACATGGATCAACAAAAATAAAACTCGTCATCTCTAAACCACAAACACAATATCGTTTCAGGTTCGAAGTAAATTATTTTTACTATATTTAAATTCAGAACTTACGAAGAATTAGGGAGGGTTGTTGTGGTTGGGGCGGGATGCTTTCTATTCAAAATCACGACCACAGCCATAACGAATCCAGCTCTGCCCAAAGCCCATCAATGCGCCGGCCGTTCTCTGAACGTCCCCAGAGCTTTCCGGTAGGCATGTGAAATGTTAGAGAGGCGTGTGTGATAAACATAACGAAGTAATTACAAAGAATATGGAGAGTTGTTGCTGCTTGAGTGTTGAAGCAATATCTCTTGTTATTTATTCTTATTTTCTTCCTTTCCTCCAAAGTAGTTAATGAGCCACTTGAAAGCATTGCCACTGATCTTGGATTCAACGTTTCTTGAATACGGGTAACCGTTTCTTGATCCAGTGCGACTTCTTGAGCTTGAGGTTGAGACTCAGATGATGCGTTGGGCTTTTTCCAAATAAAGAGATAAAACTCTGTTGATAGAGGCGTGTAGGAGGAGGCTTTAAGAGAGGCGGAACCTCCTAAACATTAGAGAGAAAACACAGTAATCGAGCGGAGGAGCCGAGGGATAAGTAAATTAGCAGGAATTTACAAAAATACCCTAGAACTTAGACGGGAAGACATGGAAGTTCACTTAACTCAATTAATTAATATATATATATATATATATATATATATAGATTCGATGTGAGAATTACAATAGGGAAAACTCATTCATTAAATGCAATTAATGAACGGTGAATGTTTGCTCTCCCATAATTAAAATTTAAGGCATGAATTACAAAATAGGGAAAAATAATAAAAATACCCCAAATTGCGAACGGATGTGAGATAAATACCTCAAACTTTTAAATACCCCAAACTTTATATAAAAAGTTATTTCGCACCATTATCATATATTATTTCTTTCAAAAATGTAAATTTTTTGGGTTAATAGCATAATTTAAAATAGCAAATTAAAAGTGTTGCAATTATGTAGATTGAGGATTACATTATTTATTTCGCAATGAAAATTTAGAATGTTAATTGTGTCTTCATGAATTCTAAAATATATTAAATTATACAATTAACACCATAAACTTACATTTAAAAAGAAATAATACTTGACTATGGTGCTAAAATAACTTTTTGTATAAAGTTTAGGGTATTTAAATTACATATGTAAATTTGGGTGTTGATCTCACACCCCTTCAAAGTTTGGGGTATTATATTTTCTTTTCCCTTTAAAAAATAAAAGTATTTATTTAGATTTTTCTTATTTAATTATACTACGTCTCTTACACAGAAAGCATCATATTTGAGGAACACTTTTGTTTATCAATAGGAATATTTTCCATTTTCAGAGAACACGAAAATTGGAGGAAAAAAAATGGAAAACGTGTTTACATGTTTATTTTTTAAAATTGAAATAACAAAAATATGTCTCTTATTTTCTTCTTAAATAGGAGAAGACAATTTTCCGTGTTTTTTTTGCCGGGGACTTTTCCATGTTTTCCGTAATGACAATACAAAGTGTTGCAGTGAGTCCTGTATATGCTTCGCGCTCGGATATCCAATTAGGGTAATTTTTTAAAACCACATATTTTTTCAAGATCTATGCAATAATGAATATTAAACAATCTATTTTAATTGTTAAATTTAGGAAAATCAATTTTCACGTTTTACTGTTTTATAGTTTACTTTTGGATATCATAAATTTCTTTCCAAAATTAATAAGTTTTAATACTAAATCTGGTTCATACATCATAAAATATGCGACTTTAAAAACAAATGCGATATCATAAATTTCTTTCCAAAAGTAAACCATACCTGTTGACTCCTTTCCTTGTCCAATGGTTCTTTTTTTTGATAGTCCAGGTGTCGGTGTTTGCTCTCCCATAATCATGGAGTCTATTGATTAGACTCCAAAGCCTCTAGACAGTCAAATGCGGATATTAATTGAAACGGTCCTCCTTTCAACTGAATCCAGAAGGGTCCTCCTACAATGCAGGGCTTCCACCACGCGAACTCGCGACCAGAATTATCTGTATCCAGAAGGGCCTCCCACCACGCGAACTCGCGACCTGAATTATCTGTATCCAGAAGGGTCCTCCCACCACGCGAACTCGCGACCTGAATTTCGATCCGTTCCCTTCTAAGCCGTTGTGCAACTCCGTAAAGGTAGGAAGAATCATTGGGAGCAAGACCTGTTTCCTCTCCCCTAAATGTGTCTAGCGAAATTGGAACCCGAGACCTCTGCTAGGACACGGTAACCTCCCATCCAGCGAGCTGGAATGGTTGGTTTGTCCATTCTTGATTTTATTACTTTTGTAGTTTGTGACCCATTGCAGTGCTTAAATTAATCATTGTTATTAGTATGTGTAATCTTATAACAAGTGCCTTAATGATTTGAAGATCATCAATATTCAATTGTAAACAAGGGTAATTCTGATTCTTGGGAATCTAGGAGCAAAATAGACAAAAAGGGTACACACAGAAACATCATATTCATCATTTAACATATGACACATTTTCATAAATCATGACAAGTGTATATTTAAATCAATTCTGTCTATAAGCAATGTAATTAGAGAGGGCAATCAAAGGGGCAGCCTTTTCTTGATCAAAACCAACAAGCTGTGTTTGAGCTTCTTCCCTCAACCGGACAGCAAATTCTCTGGACTTCTCAACCCCAATCAGCTTAGGATAAGTGACCTTATCAGCCACCAAATCCTTCCCAGCCGTCTTCCCCAACTCTTCCGAGGACTTGGTCAAATCAAGAATGTCATCCACCACCTGAAACAACAACCCAATATTTCTTGCGAATTTCCTCAGCCTCTCGATCTGTTCCTCACTCCCTCCGCCCAAAATAGCCCCGGAAACCACCGACCCTTCCAGTAAAGCTGCAGTCTTGTGAAGATGGATGAATTCCAAATGCTCTAATCCGACGTCGGAGATTCCCTCCGAGCATATGTCAACCACCTGTCCGGCCACCAGCCCTTCAGTGCCGGTACATATGGCCAATTCCTTGATAACCCTCAAAACCCTATCCGCCGGGACGCCTTTTGTGGCGGTGGCTATATGTCCGAAGGCAAAAGAAAGCAGGGCGTCGCCGGCGAGGACGGCCACGCTTTCACCGTAAACCTTGTGGTTCGTCGGCTTCCCCCGCCGTAAATCGTCGTTGTCCATACAGGGGAGGTCGTCGTGGATCAGAGACATGGTGTGCAGCATCTCCACCGCACAAGCCGCGGGCATGGCGGTTTCTTCTTCGCCGCCGACGAGCTCACAGGCGGCGAGGCAGAGCATGGGTCGGATTCTTTTCCCGCCGGCGAGGAGAGAGTACCTCATGGATTCGTGGATCTTGAGCGGCTCCTTCAGCAAGACTGCCCTTTCCAAGGCTTTGTTCACTGAATTCGCCTTCTCCAGGACATAACTCTTGAAATCGAGCTTGGGTGGGAGATCAGTCTGGTCTTTGGTGAGAGTGGCGGAACAGGAATGATGAAGACGGCGGCTCCGGCTGGTTGAGCTCGGGGATAACGATGATGGTGGGGTTTTGCGGGAGAGGGATTGAGATCTGGATCTACAACAAAAAGATGGATGGGTCTTAGCCCACGTTGTCATGGGATTTGCAAGACTCATTCTTTTCTTTATCGCCGCCCCTACAATTTCGCCTGAATTTGTTCTCCGATGTATGAAAATGGAGGTCCGCGATTTTCAGACCTTAAATACGGGCTCTGGGATGGGGTGAGCCAGTCCGTGGAACCAACAATTCACACCAAATTAGTGGAAGAGTTTTTGCAACTTTTAGTCCCTCAACTATTGTGTCAGTGACACTTTTGATACTCAACTTTTAATTTTTCCATTTTTAGTCTTCGACTATTGTGCGGGAGATGCTTTTAGTCCCCGACTTTCAATTTTCTCACATTTAGTCCTTTGAGTATTATAAAATTGACAATTTTAGTCCTTCTATTATGATTTTGACACAATAAGTGAAGGACTAAAAATGTCACTATTGCAATAGTTGAAGGACCAAAAGTGTCACTTTTACAAAATTCGAAGGACTAAATACGAAATTTTTTAAAGTCGGGTACCAAAAGTGTCTCTCGCACTATGGTCGAGGACTAAAAATGGAAAAATTAAAAGTCGAGTACCAAAAGTGTCACTGACACAATAGTCGAGGGACTAAAAGTGGCAAAAACTCTTAGTGGAAGATTGGTGAATCAGGGTAAACAAAGCCAGACTAAATTCGTAAATATGAGTAAAAACATTTTGAAATTAGACTATCATGTATTCATGTTTTGTATTCTCTATATAGGTGTAAATTTCTCCAAGTTTAGTATTACTGGGCTTTTAAACATGACATTTTTTCCCAAATTTGTCAGATTACTCCTATTTAAGTAATAAAAAACATAATACTTCCGTTTTATGGAATTTCAAAGTGTTTTTCCTTCGCAATTTCTAAACAAAGCATATGTCTGTATTTTATGGAAGAAAATTTCTCACACTGAATTAGTGAAATATTAGCGAATCAAATTTAAACAGAGCATATGCATTCTATGGAAGAAAATATCTCACTCATTAATAGAATATATGGGTTGAATGAGGGTAAAGAGATAAATGGCTCAATAAAAGATTAAAACATAGACAAAGTTCTAAAATAGGATTTAATATGATTTATTTTCCGAATAGGACTTATTTTATCCTACTCCATCCGTTCGTGAATTATCTTCAAATTTTCCTTTTTCATCTGTCCCAAAATTATCTCCTCCTTCCCTTTTTGGCAAAGAATTTATGGTTCACAATCATTCTTACACATTCTTACACATTTCTCTCTCCTCTGTACAACTCTCTACCACACAAAACCCACTATCTTAATTAGTGTGCCCAACCGAAATGGGAGAAAAAACAGGGACGGAGGGAGTATTGGAAGAACAAGTTGATTAAATTTTCGAGTGAATGCGTTTGATTTTGGGAATAAAACGTTAAGTCCTATTTACTAATTTAGCCATTTGTTTTTATCCTTTTTAGGTAATTTTCTAATAAAGAAATTGGCACTAATGAAAAAATATACTCCGTAGATAGTTTGAATTTATGGAAAATGAATTAATATTTTGGTATCCGTATCCATTTTCAAATGGAACTTGTTTTAATTTTTTTTAAAGAGGATGTATTTTAGAATACTTAGCTACTCGTATTATTATCATGTTCCCTTTTTGGATGAAACTTAAGTCTTAACATTTTCATTTGATATGAGTCACAATATTTTGTAATTGGATTGGTTACAGGTCTATACTAGATAAAACTAGACCAAAACAGACTAGTTCAGACCAGACAGAATTTAACTAAATCAGACTAGACTAGTATATTTTAGTCAAATTAAAAACATCATAAAATGTACAGAGCCACAAATTAAGATGAATTTCTTGTCATGATTAAATAGAGAGTGCAGATAGCGACAATGTTCTAAAAGGCGTAGGCGTGACGATATAGCATGACCAAGCGTCAAATCTTTAAAGCCTAGGCGGGACTAAGGCGTGAAAATGTGTTTTAGTTTTTACTAATGATTTTAATTTATATTGTACTGCAAGTATGTTTAAGCTAAAATAAACAAGTCTAAGAATGAAACGAGAATCGAACAATTATGAATCGATAATGGACTGATCGCAAAATAAAAATATAAAATATGAATTGAATATATATTTCGTATATGGCTCAATGCTCGGTTACAAGATATTGAATCCGTTGAATGAGTTTGATCAAGTGATCGTGTGTTGCTAACGTAATTAAGAAGCCTATTTATTGTCTACAATATTACTCCTTCCCCAATTCTTGCGCCTCCTTCCGTTCTCTTCTCCACGTGCAGCCGCTCGTTCTTATTTTTTTGTTTCTTCCAGCTTAGTTGATAACCATTAGAAGAATGAGTCTCCCACTTGGACTTAAGTAGCCTTCTTTACGTTTCTTATCAGCAAACATAGAAAATATGTCCGGCCCAATACTTCTAATTGCAACAAATAACACTAGCCCATACTTCGGGTTTCCTCATGATTGACTTAATGGGATAGTTAGTGTGGACGCAGATACTATGTGATTCGAAATAAGGGCGTAATTTAACGGAAGCGGTAACTAAAGTTAATACTAGTTTTTCTAGGAGTGCGTACCTGGACTCCGGTCCATTTAATGACTTACTAATGTAGTAGACTGGAGTTTGTTGTCCTTCTTCCTCTCTGGTTAGGACTGCACTGACGGCATGCTTTGACACGGCCATGAGTCGTCATGTATTCCTTCAACTATTGGAGTGCTTGCTCATGTTGGTCTGTCCACTCGAACTCCCTGTTCTTTCTGAGGACGTCGTAAAACGGGTGACATTTATCTCACGACTTTGATATAAAGCGGTTAAGAGCAGCAACTCGTCCAGTCAGCCTCTGGACATCCTTGATGGACTTTGGTGATTCAATGTCGAGGATGGCTCGAACTTGCTGCGGACTCGCTTCAATTCCTCATTCACTGACAATATAGCCCAAATATTCTCCTGATGTCACCCCGAACATGCATTTTGCCGGGTTGACCTTCAGATTGTACTCCCTCAACTTCTTGAACGATTCGCGCAAGTGGTCGACATGATCTTCCGTCTTCTTTGATTTGACTAGCATGTCGTCGATGTAGACTTCCATGGTTTTTCTGAGTTGATCTTTGAACATCATAGTCACAAGTCTCTGGAATAACGATATAGCAATAAGTACATGTTTCAGTGATGAAAGTCGTCTTCTCTTGGTCATCCGATCCGGATGTAGTTGGATCTGATGATAGTCGCTGAACGCGTCCATGAATGACAACATCTCGTGCTCTGCTGTCGCGTCTGCTAGTGCGTCAATGTGTGGCATCGGAAATGAAATCTTTTGGGCATGCTTTGTTAAGGTCGGTGAAGTCGACACATACTCGCCACTTCACCTTCTTGCCCTTCTTCTTCCCTTTCCTTTTCTGTACGACGACGACATTTGCCACCCAATCTGGATACTTGACCTCTCGAGCTTTACCGGTGCGCAGCAGTATTTCAATCTCCTGGTTGACGATTTCATTCATTTCTCTGGTGAAACGTCTCCTTTTCTGCATGACGGGCTTGTGTGATTTGTTCACATTTAGCCTGTGAGTGATGATTTTAGGGTCCACTCCCGTCATGTCGTCATGACTCCAGGCGAAGACATCTTTGTGCTCTTTATGGAAATCGATGAGTTCCTGTAACACCCCGGCCCCACAAGACCCGAGGTAGTTACTCTAGACCTCTAGTACTGTCCCCACAAACCACCACGAGCCTTTACCGCGCACTTTGTCCTCACTCATGCGCGCCCTGAGAAACTTCCCAGGGGGTCACCCATCCCAAGACTACTCCCATGCAAGCACACTTAACTTTGGAGTTCTTGGGTGATGAGCTCCCTTAAAAGGAGATGCACCTCTGTTGGTATGAGTAGTACTATTAATCCTCTTAAATTAATCTCGGGTATTACAATCACCCCCACTTAGGATGGCAACGTCCTCGTTGCGCCCTTAAACCAATCTCAATAAAACCCCAAAATCTTGCCCCGCTAAGTGCCCGCCCGATATCTAACGGGTCAGCACACTGTCGCAGGGTTGCTCTGATACCACCTGTAACACCCCGGCCCCACAAGACCCGAGGTAGTTACTCTAGACCTCTAGTACTGTCCCCACAAACCACCACGAGCCTTTACCACACACTTTGTCCTCACTCATGCGCGCCCTGAGAAACTTCCCAGGGGGTCACCGATCCCAAGACTACTCCCATGCAAGCACACTTAACTTTGGAGTTCTTGGGTGATGAGCTCCCTTAAAAGGAGATGCACCTCTGTTGGTATGAGTAGTACTATTAATCCTCTTAAATTAATCTCGGGTATTACAGTTCCCCTCTTAGGTGTGTTGGCACGTTTCTTCCAATGCGGACGACCCGGTCTGGATGCTCTGAGTCGATGATGATGTCTTCTGTCTTGTCATCATCTTCCTCCTCCAGAATGGCGTCTCCCTTTAATTGTTACGCTGATGTGGTTGGGATTGCTGGCGACTTCATGGCGGTTTGGTAGCATGACTTGGCTGCAGTTATGTCTCCTTGGATAGATTGCACTCCCCACGGAGTTGGAAACTTGACGACTTGATGATATGTCAACGGAATTGCCCCCATCTGATGCAGCCAGGGTGTTCTGAGTATCATGTTTTACGCAGGCAGATCTTGGACCACATCAAATTTTACCTGCAAGTTAAGACCATTGGTGTAAACGGGTAAAGATACGTTACCTATTGTGCGACTTAGCTCGCCGTTGAATCCGACCAAGGTTGATCTTGAGCTCGTTATGTCTTCTTCCTTGTAGCCCATCTGTTCCAACATCTTCATAGTTGTGATGTTGGTGGTACTTCCATTATGTACCAGGACTTGCCTCATTTCACAATTGTCCAAACGGAGTGAAATGACTAGAGCGTCATGATGGGTGTCAGCAGGATCTACCATGTCGGTGTCATCGAACGTAATCGACACGTTCCTCCAATCTTCTTTGCGTTTGACTACTCGGCACACCTGCGATGACTTGTCTCGGGAGAATTCCCGAGCATGTATTTTTGCTACAGAGTACGTTAGTCCAGATAAATTAGAACCACCATTAATAAAGTTAATTACCTTGTGAGGGGCAGAAGGCGACGCTGGTCGCTGCTCTGATGTCGACGACTTTTGCTCTCAGCGTAGGACGGACTTGGTGTGTTCTGACATGATGTCCGTCAAATATCCATTCATGAGGAGGTAGACTACCTCCTTTCTCAAGGCAACACAATCTTCTGTGTTATGTCCGATGTCGTAATGGAAGTCACACCTCTTATTTGGATCCCGACGACCACTGGGCTCATCTAACTTCTTCGGCCAACGAACCTTCTCTCACAGCTTGTCTAGGGAATTGATGAGGCCTGGAGTGTCGACGTTAAAGCAGTATTCCGGGATGGATGGTGGCAGGGTAGGATCATCTAGCCAACTGGTGATCACGGCTACTGGTCGGTCTTCATTTTTGGCATATGGCTTTCCAGTTCGGTAGTCATGCTTTCTGGACGAGCTTGCTTTCCGCTGGCCTCCCTCATATCCGTCTGGTCGGTGACAGGATTGCTGGTCTTCCTCCAGTCGGATGAACGCCAGTGTTTTGGCCTGAACGTCTTCAAAAGTTTTGCAAGGGTACTTGGTCAACTCCCTGTACGGCTCTGAATCTTCTAGCAGTCCCCTTCTGAACACTTCGACGGCAGTTGGAATCTCACATCGAGGGATTGACACCTTTTCTTTGTTGAAGCGGTGGAGATAGTCCCTCAAGGATTCGTTGCGTTTCTGGACCACACAGTAGATATCGCTGGTATGTTTCTCCAGAACCCGACCGCTTGCAAATTGCTGGTTGAAGAGGTTGACCAGCTCCACGAATGAATTGATGCCTTCATTCGGTAGATTGATGAACCACGTCAACGCTGGTCCGGTCAATGCTGTCCCAAAAGCTCTGCACATACACGCCTCTCGCTGCTTTGGTCTGACCGAGATGGCTAGCATCCTTTTCTTATATTGGCCTACATGCTCCACGGGATCGGTTGTTCCGTCGAATAGCCTCATAGAGGGAGCAGCAAACTTCCTGGGAATCTCGACGTCCGTGATGTGTCGTCCGAATGGAGAATTGGCGTAGCATGTTTGTGATTGGTGGTGACTGGTGGTACCCCGGGTATCCCACTGATCTTCTCCCGCATTTCCCTCAGCTCTTCCATGATGACGGATTGACGACTAAGGGGTCTGCTTGCATCCGTCTCGTCTAGATTGGTGGTGTCATAGCGGGAGCTGTCTCTTGCCTGTTTGGAGATGGTATAATGATGACCTCAGGCTCCTGCTGATTCCTGTTGATGGTGTCGACACGTCCACCGATGTCAACATGTCTGGGAATGTCGACACGATTCGAGACCCGTCTCCTCCGAGGCTCCACAAACAGATCAAGGAACAGGTTCCTCCTAGAATTCGGTACGGGGACAGACCGAGATGAAGGTCCTGGCCCACTGGATGTGTTCACCATCGAGCAAGGGATGAAGGGCTTCGTTAGGGCCGCCTCGGATGCGGCGGTCGGCATCATGTAATTTGGCGGAATGGAGTCATGTTGTCCCCGGTCCAGGTCATAGTGACTCCGGGAAGAAACACGTAAGAATATTAGGTATTGGAGTCGTTTCTGGGACAAGGGGGTGTATGGTATGACTTGCGAAATGACGGTGGATTGAGGATTGCCGGTGGGCGACATCTCCGATTGAGGATCGTCGGTGGGTGACAACCCCAACGTGAGAGATAGAGGATCCGTCGTCATGCTGGTGAGTGGTTCGGTTGAGATTGGGATGGGATCCAAATCCAACCTTGTTGCTGCTGTCATGACGTCACTTCTTCGGCTGAATCCTGAGTTGGAAGGTATGGATGCCACCGTACCGTTTGCACTTGAGAGTGCAATACATCATTTTCTCGTTGGAGAAAACCAATCCGTTGAGCCATTTCACGCCGGATTTCTTCCTTAGGTGTTTCTAGCTGCTCGTGAAATTCTATTAGCAAGGGATTCGTGATTCCGGCCATGATCGATATTTTTTTGTGCGAATTTCCCACAGACGGTGCCAAATTATTTAAGCTTAAATAAACAAGTCTAAGAATGAAATGGGAATCGAACAATTATGAATCGATAATGGACTGATTGCAAAATAAAAATATAAAATATGAATTGAATATATATATTTCGTATATGGCTCAATGCTCGGTTACAAGATATTGAATGTGTTGAATGAGTTTGATCAAGTGATCGTGTGTTGCTAATGTAATTAAGAAGCCTATTTATTGACTAAAATATTACTCCTTCCCCAATTCTTGCGCCTGCTTGCGTTTTCTTCTCCACGTGCAGCCGCTCGTTCTTATCTTTTTGTTTCTTCCGGCTTAGTTGATAACCGTTAGAAGAATAAGTCTCCCACTTGGACTTAAGTAGCCTTCTTTACGTTTCTTATAAGCAAACATAGAAAATATGCCCGGTCGGATACTTCTAATCGCAAGAAATAACAAAGTACATATATACATGTAATATTAGAATATACCATGTAAGAGATTGTACATTCCAACATAAAATAAACTCTTAGAGTTCTACATAAAATATACATCGATCTACTGTACATGATGTAAGAAATTGTATAATAGGTCAATATAAACTTTTATAGTAAGAATGGTATTACCTTAGTTCTTGACTATGTGAGAACTTTTATACTACCTTCGTCCCAAAATTAACTTCCCATTTCGGATTATGATGCTTGACCGACGATAAAGCAACTCGATCCTTGTTCATACTCAGATTACTTTTAGTAAATAAAATTTACATATTGAGAAACTACATTAAAACCGCTACAAAGGCTGATAAAAAATATAAATTTGATAAAAATTTGATATATAAAATATAAGATTAAGAGTAATTTAAGTTGATCATGTGAATAGTGACTGTGAAGTTCATTTTGGGACGGAGGGAGTAATTGATGGGTCTTTTCTCAAAACACGGGAAAAGTTAACATGCATGGCAAAAACACGGGAAAAAATGAGAGGGTTCTAAGAAAACGAAATTCGGAAGACCATATTCCGAATAGATTAGGGATCCAATAGGTCTTTCTCCATTCGGAAACATGTGTTCCGAATTCATTTTTTTTCCCTTTGTAATCCCATTCGGAAGATGATCTTCCAAATCAAAATTTTTAAATATTTTTGTTATCCATTCGCATTTGCATGATGGAGTTCCAAGTGGCACTTTTTATTTTTATTTAATCATACAAATTAAATTATTTAAATTAATATGAAATTATTTTTAATTAATAAATAAATTAGATCCCTTTCAAAACAAAATATAAAGTGGACGTCTTAGTATTTTAATAAACAGGTCGGATATGGTACATATGATCTCATCCGATCAGGGTTCAGGCCCATTTAAAATTTCTTACTAGTATACGTACAAACACATACTAATACATAAAGTGATTAGTTATCATCCTCGTCCTCATCTTCTTCATATTCTTCATATTCATCTTCATCTCCCGCAGCAGCTGTCTCTATATGCGGCGCAACGTAACCGCGATGATCTTGCCTTGGACGAGGCATGGGATCGGGCTCATAGTCAGCATCTGGGTAATGGAAGATGCCGTGGTGGAGCACCTCTTCTACATCTAATGCTATAACACATTGTGCTAGCCGATCTTTAATATCCTCATGATCGACCAAATTATCAGCGAGCTGATAGGTATCATGAATGCACTGCAACTGCAATCACAATTAATTAGTGTAAATATTATAAAGGAAAATTTGTTAATGAATATCGTATGTAATTAGAAACTTACCTTAACACCCAACTCACGTATTGCAGGGGTGTAGCCTGTCCTTGGTGTAGCGTGCGAAGGATTCACGACACGTTTCCAACCGGTCCGCGCGTACCACGTACGGTACCCATCAGCCACATTCCGCCCGTCAAGCGGGGGCCATGTAAGTTCGTATAAATTCATATCTCGTTCCGCCCACAATGCTAAGGAAGCTGTGCTAGCGCGGGAGCTAATAGTGTGATGGCATGCACCTTGGAGAGTGGGGTTCGGCTCTCTCTGAATGGCAAAGAACTGTCGACAAAACCGATCGGGGTAATGCCTCTCTGCATAATCGCAAAAAATGAGCATAATCTCGGCAAACCAACGCCTGGATTGATTTCTGATGTCTTTAGGGAGATTACCCAATGGATAGGGGTCCATACAAACTGTAAAAGTATAATGTTAATTTAACAATAATGAGATAGTTTGTACTAAAAGACAATTGTATTCAAAGTAGAATTCAAATCACTACTTGACTCTCCCTCATGCGGTCTAAGAGGTCTCGTAAAACGGGCAACGCATGTCTTCCGCCCTTCGAAAATGAATGAGGTCCGATCCATCTACATTTATTGTTGACAAACATCATGTCAAAAATTTTAGAAAAGCATACAACATTTTAATTACTAAGATTTAATTGGAATCATACCGGAAGAGCTCCAAGGTTGATGGGCCGAAGAAGTTGGGGACGCAACATAGGAAGTCTCTCCCAAGCCCAAAGCTGTAGCAAGTGTAGACAACCACCAATTTGCCTCGCATTCCACTTGTTGCCCTTACACAAGTTGTGATAGAGAAACCCGAGCACCGCCGATCCCCAACTCCATCGACGGGCATCCGCTAAGTCCCCATTCAAAAGCTCTAAGAAATACAGTCGTATTTTATCCCCACTTGTGTTAGGGAACAAAAGACCGCCAAGCAATTGCCACACCACGACTCTAGCGTGTTGGGTGACCTCTTCTTCAATATTGTCGGGGCGGATCGGGGTACGCGTAATAGCACGACACTTAATTTTTACACCGCGCTCCAAATCACTCTCATGATGAGTGAAACCTGCCAACTCTGTGCACATATGTATCCAAGCAGCATTTGTGTTTGCGGTTGGACCACTCAGGGGCATACCATCGATGGGCAAACCCAATAGGATCGAGGTCCTGAATTGGCATAATATCTGTAGCTTACGTTTGGATATAGGCATTTAATGTGTAAACCTCTGGAATGAGTTGATCCGTCGTAATCCGTAAAAAGTGACAAATTGCGTATGCGTGAACACATGGCATACCGTTCTGCTTCCAGTATCCACAATCACATTCCCGCCGCGAAAGGTTTACCATGACTGGTTGGTGTTTGCGTATGGTGACGGAGTAAATCCCTGCTCTACGGTTGTGCGGGAGGACAGTACTAAGGTGCCTTTGCTGCGAACGTTCTAGAAGCTCTTTCCATATGTTCTGCGGGTATAAATACCCTGCTTGGTGCCACATAGCTCCAGTGTTGCGTCGACCGCAAAGAGTTGAACCACTTTATCGAATGTTGCTTTTATGAGTGCGGTGATTGGCAACGTACGACATCCCTTCAACACATGATTAAAACTTTCCGAAAGGTTTGTCGCATCAATACCGTATCTCCATCCATCATCATAGCTAAGTGTCCACCTTTCCACATCAATTTCATTCAAATATGCAAAGGCACTCGCATTGATGCCTCTTATTTGGTGCATGTAGTCGTGGAATTCGCTGCGGATAGGAGTGCTACCGGCTTGCCAGCACAACTTTTTCAATTCTGTGTTCCTGAATTTCGTCATGAAATTGCTCCGAATGTGACGGAGGCAATAACGCTTCGACACTTGAGACGATAGCAATTCAGGAACATTCCGATATTTTTTCACCTTCCACACATGTGAGTTCCGGTCTGCTCCTGCTTGGATGTGCCACGAGCATTTGTTCGCAGGGTAGATGCACACAACCTTCCATGACCTGGGACGTTTGTCATCTGACCGGAAAAATGAGTGTTGACGGATGTTTGCTCGGGCCACAGTTTCTTTTAATTCATCATAGGATTTGAATGTGACGCCGACTGCAATCATTTCTGAATCACGATTTACAGCCTCGACATACGGTTCGTCTATCTCCAGAGTGGCCCATGTCGTATCTACTGCCTCGTCTTTATAGAGGATGATTCAACATCACTACTATGTTGTTCAAAGTCGGGATCGTCCGAGTCCCCAGATAAGTTTGTGACTGTAGAAAGTAAATATATATTATGTATACCAATTTCAATAATTCGTAATCATACATAAAAAAAGATATTTACATTTAAAATATTAAATTAACGATTATTTGTATTCGTGGATTAGTTAATTTACACAAAGTTATTCAATGTCAAAATAATAAATAATTTTTTTTACGTTTTTTTGTTTTAATACAAATAACCGGGGGAAAAAAATACGGCCATCAAGATATGTTTGTTTTCTTTATTTTTTTACGTTTTTTTATATAAGTTTTAATATATATTTATTTTAGTCCTAAAAGCTACATGTGCACATTATTTTCACTTTTTTCATTTCTCTATTTTGATACTAATTTATTAAAACAATAGTACTAATAAATGTATGAATATATTAAATCACTAAATTTGAAATTTGATTAAACATGTAAAATGCATACCGGGAGACTGGAAATCCTGAAAAGTGGATGTGTTTCTCCTTCGGCCATATGTTGATGATGGACCCTGCCCGATATCACCAAACGCAGCGGTAGTATTTGCAAGACCTTCGTCGCAGATCAAACTTTGTGGTGGGGCTATAGAGTTGTTTATAACATCCACGAAAATTTGCAATTCCTCGTACTCCTGGAATGCGACCCGGGAAAAATTACTCCATGACCGGTCATCGTGGATGGGCCACGCTCTAGAAGCAGCGTAGACCGAATTCTTAAATTTTTGCATTTTTCCGTAAATAGATTGTATTTCAGAAAACCTCGCTTCTCTTATGTGTTTTAGAACACCTTTGTATAGAGTGTTAAAATCATCTCCTTTGCTAATGAACAATACTACCTTAGGAGGTATGGAATACTCTATTTCATTATCTTTTGAGATCATAGTCATTCCAATGAACAAGAACTGCACTATCTGCACTAGCCATTTGTAAATAGTATAGATTAAGAAATAATAGTATGAAGTGAGAAAAAACTATTGTGTGTTGTGGTGAAGAATTAAGAACGAAGTAAGGGTTTTAATAGGTGAATGGAGGGTAAAGGTAGGTAGAAAATGTGGAGGGGATGTGAACACGTATACTTTTTATTATTTCGAAATTAGTATTCACAAATGCTTCATCATGTTGTGAGTTTTGTTATTTCCATTTGGAAATGATGTATCCGAATGGGTAGAAAATGTGGATGTATTAGAAAAACGTAGGCTAATTAGCCATTAGGATTTCAAACTTCCTAATGTGGATTGGCTTTTTAGATGGATTACAAAAATTAGAAAAATTAGAAAAGTTAGATGGGTTGGCTTTTTAAATGGATTACAAAAATTAGAAAAGCTAGAAAAATGTGGATTGGCTTTTTAGCCATTCTGATTTTCAACTTCCGAATTGGAAGTTACTTTTTAGAAAAACAATTAGCCTCCATTCGGAATTAGAACTTCCGAATCAAGCTGTCCACGCCAACCTAATTCATTCGGAATATAGAATTTCGAATCCCGTATTTTCGTACCCTAAAAGGAACTCCCGTGTTGGCATCTCTTGATCAAAATTCTCGTCTTTTTGTCATTTCCTCGTAATTGATATCAATTTAGTAAAGTAACAATAAAATAAGAATGATTTAAACCACACAAAATATTACCAAATTTGGTAAACGATTATTATTTTATACGGAGTAGTTTTTTGTTGATCGCTGAGATAATTAAGAAAACAACTCACTCGTAAACAAAGTGTAGACACAACATTCCACATTTCCACACTTTAACGTTATACGATGGCTCACCTAGAGACGATCCCTGACACAACATTTAAAATGTGTTCAACCAAGTTGTATTGACTTGTTACAAACATGCCATGCATATTTATTCTGCTCGTTTTGTTGTTGCCTGAGCGTGATAACTTATACTCGAATAAGCAATATAATACATGCAATCTCAATCAAGTATTTTATGTCATGCAAAGCACTCGTAAAATTTCTTTTCTCCACTGTAGGTGGGAGCTTATGCATCACCGCGATAATGATGATGATGAAAGCACTAGTAAAATTTGTAAGACAATGGTTGAGATTAGAGTTCACAAAGTATATCGCATCGTTGAATTGATTTTGGTGTTACCATGTGAGAATTATCGATCAAGACATGTCTTCACAATAAGATGATAGATAACTTCCTTACGAATTTATAAATGTAGGGGTGGGCATAAAACCCGAATCGAACTGGTACCGAACCATCTCGTAATGGCACTGAACCGAATACTGGATATTTAAATGGTTCTATAGATTTTTGTCCCGTACCGAAATCGAACCATTTGAAACGGGTACAGGACCGGTCCTAGATTTTGAGAACCGAAAAATACCGGACCGAACCCTTCGAAAATAATGCATTTGAATTTTTTATAATTTATCTATACCAATAGATCTCTTTTATAGACAAACAATTTTATAGCCCACATATGTATTCATGTGTTCCTAAACTAGCTAAATGTGTTTATATATATATATTGTTATTTTTCCTTTTTATATAATTTATGTTATATTTTGATATGTATTGAATGTAATATTTATAATTTTTTACAACTTAATCAATATATGGTTTAAATCTTAGCTCTCAAAGTTCAACTATAAATTAAATTAGATATTAATATGTAATATTTAACCTAGAATGATGAAGAAGAAGAATATTGAAGATTTCTATTATATTGAACAATTTGATGATATTCTTTTTTATATTTTCACATGAACTTAGTAAATTAAAGATGATATTTATCTCGGGCGTCCTCGTTTTGCTATATTTTTTCTTAGTTGCGTTGCACTATTTGTGTATTTGTGAATATGAATACTACATATGCAATTTCTTGTATTTATATCAATATTTCATGTGAGTTGGTTGATGTGAAGATATCTACCAATTGCAAGATTTGTTCAAATTTTTTAGCATGTGTTTGGCATTGTACCGTACCTTTTTGTAACGTTCCGAAACGGCATGGTACCGAACGGTTCTATCATTGAAACCGGACCGTACTGGACCGTTAAAAACCTAGCAGATACATTACGGGTTTTACTAGTTTACCGGACCGTTCCGGACCGCGCCCACCCCTATATAAATGTGCTACATCTAGAATGAACTATTTAGTAATTAGTACTCCGTATGTAACGAATTACTCCATATAATCAATGTTAACGACTTAAATCATTTATTACTGCTTTTATTACATTTGAAGTTTTGATACGAGTAAATTTTACTCCCTCAGTTCCTATTAAAACTTCTAAATGGGTTGGACATACAGTTTAAGATAGTGTGTATTGTGTGGTGGAGAGTTGTGCAGAGGAGAGAGAAATGTGTAAGAAATGTTGTGAACCACAAATTCTTTACCAAAAAGGAAAAGTGGAAGTTTTAATTGGAACGGACGAAAAAAGAAAGCTGGAAGTTTATTTAGGAACGGAGGGAGTAGTATTTAGTCATTTCAGAAATAATCCGCTATTGATTACGCATTATAGCTTTTAGCGTAAGATTTACATCTCTATATTCTCAATCCTGCCATCATTCATATTCATACATAGATGATCCATCACAAACTTCTTTCATCGGTTTAGCAAATTTGATGAATTGAAGCATCAAACAAATAGAACGTGCAAATAAAAGAAATGAAACTTTGATATCGACTTTTTATTATATCGACTTTTTATTATTCTCGGATAAGTTCAATCCAACTTTGATATTCATCACACACTCCATATGGGGGAACTCGGAAAGTTAGTATTTTGACATAAAAATAATAAAAAGTAGATATAAAAATCTAATGTTAGAGTTTGAGGTTTGAGTTTTCAATGAATTGTACGATTCTTTACAATGTAAAAGTATCTGAAATTTCTACATTTTGGTCATGGAGGCAATTTCGTACTCATGCACATATATTTTTCATTAAGAACATGGAGGTAATTCCTTGCATGTATCATTATTCGTAAATTTTTAAAGAATTCAAATGTGGCATAGTTTAACAACAACAAAAATGTACTCTTTGTTCTACAAAACTTGACCATATTGACCTGTGTTGCCCAATGATGATCAAGGTTGGCCAATGATTTTTTTAAAATGAAACTATTTAAAATAAGAAAATTATGTGGAAATCTTCTTTGTTAAAATAATTTTATAGAAGTATAATGTTATAAGTTTAACACAAACATAATAGCTAAAATAATTGTTCAAAGAAAAATCAAATATATAGTTAAGTTTTATGAGAAGAAAGGAGCATTATACACCCCTAATGTCATACATCCAACCTCTTACGAAGGAAGGGATTGGACACTCTTTTAGATGGCGGACAAAGTTAAAAGCAATGATACATATTAGGAATAGTTCAAGATATGGATTATGGTATAACGAAGTAGTTACATCTAGGCAAGGACCTGATCCACAGACCCCAGACCGATCAAGCTAAGACCAGAAATAGCTAGTTCACCGGGCTGAAATTGGTCAATTCACGAGACCGGACTTTGATATTTGTCAGTTGGGGCATTGGACCGGCCCATGCCTGTCTGGTAGGGATGGATCGGGACCGGTCGGGCTGGCCCGGTACCGGAACCAAACCGCCACTCTGCGGTACTGGCTCGGCCGGTTGACCGTGACCAAGCCTTGGGCTCGAACCGGGCAGTTTTTTTGGTGGGTCACGGGCCTCACATGTCTTGGAACCGGCCCAGCCGGTTCGGGATCGGTCCAGGCCGGTCAATTTTTTTTTTAATTTTTTTCGAAGGTATTGGGTTGTAGGCGGGGTACGTGGGCTGGGTGGTTTGGGGGTGGGGTGGGAATAAATAAGAAAAACAAAATTTAAAAAAAATGAATCGACCCGACATCCCGGGCCCGGAACCTAACCGGGCCCATACCCAGTGGAGGACGTAGGGAGGGGCCTAGGGGGGGCAAGTACCCCCGCTTTCAGCTAGTAATTTCACTACTAGTACTTAGAGTAAAATCAGTGCCCCGCTTCCGACCAAGAATTTCACTACTAGTGTGCCCCTACTCTGACAAATCTCTGGATCAGCCACTGCCGGTACCGAGCCACCAACTCTCAAGTCCCAGTATCGCCCAAAGCCCGACCCAGACCTGGACCCGATCTGAGCCTTGTCCATCCTTACTGTCTGGCACCCATTCTCTTCGAACTTGGGATCGATCAAGTCCCGGTTCGATCTTTTTATTTTATATTTGCATTTCAAGGCATAGAAGCATTTTTAAAGAGGTATAAATCGAATAGGATGGGGGTCAGGACTTGGGAGGATTTAAAAACATTAAAAATATTAATCTCTCCGTCCCTTATAACGTTGTCAACTTTTTTTCCCGAATGTTCCACTAACTTTATCACTTTCCCTTCTATTCTATTTATATATAAAAAAATAAATAGCTCATAGAAATACAATTTTATCCTTAATGAAACTTAAGTCATCCTATCCACAAATTACTCATCTACTCTGCTGTCATGTAGCCAATTCAAGATTAATATCGAATTAACACGGAGTCACCCTTAATTAACAGGATTAATTAACAGGTCACCCTTAATTAATACGGAGTACGTAGTAGTAAAAAAATGTGGCATCAATTTGGTGGGGCCCAATATATAAAAACACGCTTTCTTTTAAATTGTTATAACTTTTTCATCATTTATCTGATTTTTATAAAAAGTATATCATGATTTATAATTTTTTACGATTTTTCATATGACACCAATATTAGATATATAAAATTTAAAAAAAAATTGAAGGTTCATTAAACAATCTTCCCATTTTCCAACCTCACTACGGATAATTCCGTATTAAAAAAAGAATTAATTCATAATATGAAAAGTATATCAAAATTCATAATTTTTTATCTTTCCTATGACACCAATATTGAAT